CTCACACCCCTCCAGTCAGGTGGGGCCCTAAGACTCCCTATGCCACAGAGTCATGAGCATTCTTTTTGTTTTATATCTGCCAACTCTTTTTTTAATTTTTTATTTATTTTGGTTGCACTGTGTAGCTTGGAGTATCTCAGTTCCCCCACCAGGGACTGAACCTGGGCCACAGCGGCGAAAGGACCACGTCCTAACGATTAGATACCAGGGAACTCCCCCTACCCTTTTCATATCTATCCTCTCCTTATTATCCACACAGCTTCCTGAGAGGTTTTATTCAGAATGTACATTTACCCACAGGAAACGGAACACCAGAGATTTAATTCCAGGTTCTTCTTCATGGACATAGAGTGACACAGGCGGGATTTGAACTTGGGACTCCCACCTGTGTTTTGTCTTCAGAGGAGAGTTAATCCTCGTGTTGCATTCCTGCTCCTTGCCAGGCTGTAAATGCAGAGGAAACAGGATCTCCTGTGTTCATCTCAGTCCTCTCGTTTAGCTCAGACTCTCTGCGGGGAAACCTTGACCCCAGCCTGCCTCCTCACCAGCCCCCCTCTCAGGTTCCAACCCCGTGGGCCTTGGGGGGCATCTGGCTGGTCTGTGCCCCGTTGTCAGTATTATCTAAACCTCCTCCTGGCCCTGCTGACCCCAGGCTGTGTATTTCTGCATTTCTTTTGCCTTGGCTTCTCAAAGCCAGGCTCCTCCTAGTTAACTTCCAGAATCCCTTTCTAGGTGTTCAAGACAGGCTTTCTAACAGAAATGTGTTTACGATTTGCCATGGAGATGGTTTGGGCCTTTATTCCTCCAAGTGGTGATAAAATGATACTGGGCGCTCACCCCTCCAGCAGTTTGTTTGGTAATTCTAAGAGACTTGTGAAAAATGCATGAGGTCCGCGATACAATAGATAAACTGAAAGGCTTGGAAGAAAATCTGCTTGTAGATAGTGGGGTGCTTGGAAAAAACTCCTTCTTTGTCCTGAAAGAGATCGTGTTCAGGAATAATTCTTCTGGTAATCCTGATGCTTTCATCCCAGGTCCAAAGCTTGTTGGCGCCTGCTTGTCAGATCTTTCCCACTTTGGTTTCTTCTAGCATCTTTGGCTTTGGTTCACGTCTTAATGAGCCCGGGTTCTCTCTATAGAGGCCACTGCCCTAAATGAACAAAAGTGGGACCAGAACAAGCTTTGTGTTATCTGGCAACTGTGCAGATAGTCTTCTCAGTACTGCAGTGGGGACATTTGAGGGGAGGAGGGGTCATGGTTTACTGGACTGTTATGGTTGGGGGAGAAGTGGGCCAGCCTGGCTGAAGCAACGTCTCCGATGCTGCCTCCCCTTTGAAGGAAGGCAGGGAGCGTGTGTGTCCCTGCCGTTACCCGTAGTGTCTCTACCACGTGGCTGCCGGTTTTGTTCCAGAACAGCCTCATGTGTGGCCTTGAAGCATGCTGCATAAACACTGCTCCTAGGCTTCTCCAGGTTAGACTCGCAAGTCACAGATAAGGAAATGGAGACAAGAGATGCCAAGTGGCTCATCCAGGGTGACAGTGGAAGATGACTGCACCCAGGGGCCAGGGTTTCTCGGTCCCTCGCCCTTCCCTCTGTGCCAGGCTGCTCCCTGTGGGTTCAGGGATGAGGGGGTGGGCAGTGGTGGTGAGGGCATCATGAACTTTTAGTTCATAACTCAGAACATGAATCCATCAGCCAGATCGAGTAGGGGAAACCCTCGAAGGCCGTCATTTGTCCATTGTTATTTTCACCCTATACATGATGCGCTGTGGGTGATGTGAAGTTTGTTGAGTGGATAACCTTTTCTTTTTCTTTAATCCTTAGTGTAGAGTTTAATCTGCTTTAACTGAATCATAAAGTTCGTTGTGTGTGCCTGTTAAGTCGCTTCAGTCATCTCTTGACTCTTTGTGACCCTAGGGACCGTTGCCGTCCAGGCCCCTCTGTCCATGGGATTCTCCAGACAAGAATACTGCAGTGGGTTGCCATGCCCTCCGCTAGGGGATCTTCCCCACCCAGGGACTGAACCAGCGTCTCTTAAGTCTCCTTGCATTGGCAGGCAGGTTCCTTACCACTAGCGCCACCTGGGAAGCCCTGATCATAAAGTTCATCATAATCTAATTCCAAGTAATCTCTTAAAGTTTGCCTACATTATTCTCTTAGATTCACCCTTCAAACTGTATTTTTTTTTAATATTTCAGCATTTCATTTTTATTTATTTATTTATTTTTTAAATATTTATTTTAAAATGTGTCTGTTTGGCTGTGCTGGGTCTTAGTTGCAACACCTGAGATCTTTAGTTTCGGCGTGTGGAGTCTTAGCTGTGGCATGTGGGATCTAGCTCCCTGACCAGGGATCGAACTCGGGGCCCCCCCTGCATTGGGAGCTCAGAGTCTTAGCCACTGGACCACCAGGGAAGTCCTATTTATTTTTATAATTAGTTTGTATTGGAGTATATGCAGTTGCTTTACTTGAGTGGATGACCTTTTAACATGAGGACATTGGTCTCATTGCTATCATATATGTCAGTCTTGGTGTCTCATGAGTGACAGGCCCTGGTGTCAGTGTAGGCCTATTCTGAGGAACACACTCTGGGGAAGGAACCGTGCCGACAGGGGGAGTTGTCTCTGGGGATCCGGCAGCAGAGAGGTATAGGCGCACGGGTGAGGCCGAGGCGTAGCAGAGAGAACGGCTCCGTGGCCTGAGGACAGCCCTGGATAGACCTTCCTGAAGGACACCTCTGAGCTCGTGCCCACGTCCCCTCTGGGTCCAGACGCAGGCTCTGCCTTACCAGCCACTGGCCCGTCTGTGTGAGCTGGGCAGCGGGTCAGGCTCTCAGGAGAAGGCATGAAGGCAGCTTCTCTTCTGCACTTGGGTCTGCAGATGCGTGCTGGAGAGGACTTTCTCGGGGTGGACCTCACAGGTGTGAGGACAGGAAGACGGCCTCCTCAGACGTGTGTACTGGCCACCCCTCGGGAGCAGAGACATTAAAAAAAAAATCAAAAACACCAATGAGCCTATCACCAGATACTCTGGTATGGGACAGCAGGCGGGAGCAGATTTCAGAGAGGGAGATATGAATCTCTGGCTTTTGAGAGCTCTTAAAAATGATTCCTAGGAACCAAAACAGGTTCACTGGGAAAAAGAAAAAAGAATAATCCAACGGCGCACTCTCTTTGCTGATAAGGTTTGCTAGAAAAGAAGCATTATGCCTTTTCCTCCAGCCTCTGCTGACCTCACAGACGGAGCTTGTGGAGTCGGAGGGGAGGATGAATTAAGCTGGTGTGTTTATTCCCTGGGGCTCCCACAACAAAGTACCAGAGTGGCCTAAAACAACAGAAGGTCATTCTCTCAGTTAAGGAGGCTGGAAGTCTGAAGTCAGGTGTCTGTGGGGTTGGTTCCTCCCGAAGGTCCTGAGGGGAAGGGTCGTGGTGGCTGTGGCCATCCTTGCCTTGCAGCTGACCTCACTCACGGTCTCCATCTTCACACAGCCCTCTCCCTGTGTGTCTCTGTGTCCCCATTTTCCTCGTCTTGAAGATACCAGTCGATGGATGAGGGTGCATCCGAATCCAATATGAACTCACGTTAACTTGATTCCCTTGTGGCTCAGCTGGTAAAGAAGTCGCCTACAATGCAGGAGACCTGGGTTTGATCCCTGGGTTGGGAAGATCCCCTGGAGAAGGGAAAGGCTGCCCACTGCAGTATTCTGGCCTGGAAAATTCCATGGACTGTATAGTCCGTGGGGTCGCAGAGTCGGACACGACTGAGTGACTTTTTCACGTTCAGTAACTTGATTGGATCTCTGAAGACATTCTCTCCAAACATGGTCACTTTTACAGGGACCGGGGGTTAGGACTTGAACAGATTTCGGGCTGAGTGCACAGTTCAACCCACAGTAACAACAACAGCTGGTGAATGGCCTTCCTTACACCCAGCCTCCTCTCTGAGCCCGTTTCCTGTCACGCCAGCATCCCCCACTTTTGTCCTTAGCATCATAGAGCTTTAGGGCCAGAGGGATGGTCTTCTCTACTTTGCCTGCCCGACAGGCTGCTCTCGCCCACTGACTTAGGGCTCCTCGAGTTGTTGAGGAGCCCCATGGCAGGGCCACGGTCCCTGCGTTTTTTTTTTTTTTTTTCCTGAAAACATCTTCATGTGTCTTTTGTTGAATTCCTGTTAACAGATAATGGTTTCTTGTTCCTCATGTGCCTTAATGTTATTTCCCAAAGAAGACTGTAAAGACTAATAAAGGCTGTAAAGGCTCATCTTATCACAGTTCTGCTCGCCTGTCGATGGCCTACTATGAAGCTAGTGGGTATTAATAAGCAGTTGTTGGAGTGGGCACCCGAAGGTCAGGTGGCTGGCCCATGTCACATGTCTCATCAACTTCTCACAGACCTACAGAATCCTGGCATCCCACTCTCCCCAGCCTTGCCTCAGAAGCCTTATCAGGGCAGGGTCCTGACCACTCTCATTGAATGCAACCCACCCTGGGAGCAGTTCTGGTTTCTGGTGAGGCTCCATCCAGGAGTTGAACAGCTGATCAGAACCCAGTGGTTCTCCTTTTCTCAGCTCTGGTTTCTCAGTTTGGGCTCTACTTTGAGCTTGGCTCCATCAGGCCTGTCTCCTTCAGATCTTAGGATGACTGCTCACAGCTGCCCAGTCTCCCAGCTTCCTCTTGTCCTCCAGGAGGGAGAGTGTCCCAGCATTCCCTGCAGGATTGCTGAGCCTGCTTCCGATTGGACGAACTCTGGTCACATGTCCTCTCCTGAGACAGCAGCCCCAGGAAGTGGAAGGCGCTGATTGGGCTAATCAAAGTCATGTGATCCCAGTGGGGCTAAGGATGGAGCCTGTGTCCTGAGACCAGGTGATGCCTCAGCCAGAAGTCAGGGCTGGTGAGAGGACAGAGAATGCAGGGAGGGCACACGGGATGAAATCTTGCTCGTCACCCCCCCGTTTCAGCATCAGTCTCCCTTCTCTAACCAGGAGTGTGTTTTCCTTCCAGGAATACATCGATGCCCACCCGGAGACCATTGTCCTGGACCCTCTTCCTGCCATCAGGACCCTGCTTGACCGGTCCAAATCCTACGAGCTCATCCGGAAGATCGAGGCCTACATGAAAGGTGCGGACTTGAGTGGCTTGGCCCCGATGGCAGTTGGCCCACCTCGTGAACATGAGGTGGTCCTTGTTTGGGTGGGAGATGGGGTCTGGCCGTTTTAAGCACTTTGACACAGGAAGCAGTTGTACTTTCTGGGGAGGGCCTTTCCTTCTCCCTCCGTGACCGGCAGAGTTAGACAGTGAAAGCCCCAGGGTGCTTTTTGTGAGAGTAGCTCCCGCCACTTCAAGGCGGTTTTGTTTTGTTGTCTTAAACCCATGCGTGTGATGAAATATCCAGATAACACAGTGGTTAGAGAGCAGAAGTATGTGAACAGCTCAGCGGCAGGCAGGCGAGGGGAGTTATGTAACCGGGCAAAAGAGACAAACAGAGAAATTAGAAGCCTTTAATCAAACGCATGGAGATATGTCATGTGGTGGCTGGACCTCGCGGGGGTACGTGTTGTTCTCGCAGGCTGGAACCTCCCTCTTAGCTGCGGGAGTGTCTCCTGCCAGCTGCCAGCTTCTGCCCTAGAGGACTCATGCTCCCTGCATCCCTGGGCAGGGCCGCGCCAGAGAAGTCAGACTGCCTTCCCAAGGTGTCTGTTTATACGAGAAGGGCATTTCAGGAAGATTCATGCTCAGTAAGCTCTTAGTTCTCCGCCTGGTCCACACAGTCCCTGCATAGAGTTCTTTAAAAAAAAAAATTTTTTTTTTTTAAAGTGCTTTTCCTGGGCCCTGGGGCTGGGTGAGAATTTATCTCTGAGGCGGGAGAGGCACCCCTGTTCCTGCTATCTGGGTCTTGTGTGTGTGGCCTCAGGGGACTGCCTTGAACCCCGACCAGGGTGGTGACTTGGCCCCAGGCGTGTGTTGTTCAGGTGATGCTGGGTGCCTTAGCTCACAGGACCAGCATGGGAGATAGGAGCAGCGTTTACTGGGTACTTGCTGAGTGCCCAGCACTGGGCTTAGCCTTCCTCTTACCTTCTCCCTGCTGGTGCTCATCAGGGTGGGCCAGGTCATCCTCCCTGGGTGGCAGAGGAGGTCCTGAGAGGTTCACTGATGTACCAGCATCACACAGCCTGGAAACTGCCCAGCCAGAATCTAGCCAGGTCTCTCCCCCTCAGGCTCCCCGGCTCCTAACACCTAAGCTTGACTTCCGTGTCTGTAGTCAGAGGGGCCCTGGATCTAGCAAGCCCCTGGCACGGGTGCAGTTGTGGACCCTGGCCAGGGGAATCGATGCCCGTTTGGTTCTCTAAGGAACCTGCTCTGCACAAGAGCTGGGTGCTGGACCTGGCCATCCTGGAGGAGGTCTTAAGGCCCTCTGCTGTGGGTGGCTGGCCTTTACCAGGAAGCACAGAGCATGGGCATGAGCTTGGGCAAACTCCGGGAGATGGTGAGGGACAGGGCGACCTGGCGTTGCTGCAGTCCATGGGGTTGTGAAGTCGGACACAGCTGGGCGACTGAACAACAGCAACAAAGAGCATGGACGTGACTTCCTGGAAGGCCCTGAAGCAGGCAGGCTTCTTCAGCATGCTAGCATCCTTCCATCCTTGGGTCTGGAGTGATTGGTGACCATCTCAACTTCTGGTCTCTTTGCGGTCCTTCCTGGGTCCAACAGTACTCCTAGAGCAGAAGGAAGATCCGTGGTGATGTTTTGGCCGAACGATGCTTCTAGAATGGAAATCTGCCTCTTCCTAGGAAGAGTGTGCGTTGGATGCCAACTATTTGTGAAGGGACAGGAGATGACCGTAAAAGATGAGAAGGCCCAGTAAATGGACAGAGTTGCAGGTCAGCAGAGGCAACAAGTCCATTAGAAGAGTGATGCTTTCTGATGGGATTAGGGAGGGTACCGCCGAGAGGGCTTTTGTAGAGCAAAAGGCTCAGACTTTGAGGAGGAGACAGACTAAGTTTGGTTCCAAATCTTGCTGCCTTGTGGTCTTGGCCAAGTCACTTGACCTGACCTTGCCTGTTTTCTGTAAGATGGATAAAAATTGGTTTATCCACAGGGCCCGGAGTCGGGGTACCTGGGATAATGTCTGAAGTGCTCTTAGCTTGGGCCTTGGCCCATGGGGTCACCCAGCAACGGGGTCCACTCTTCCTGCTCCTGTTACACTGGAAAGGGCTGAGGTGTCCGGATTGGCTCTTAAGACTCTGTCTCCGTTTTTATGAGCAGACAAACAGGGCTGGGGGTCAAAGGTGAGCATGTGAGTTTGGGGGCAAGACTCACCCCCTAAAGGGCACACAGGAAGCAAGACTAACTCTTGGGAGGGCAAGTATCGAGGGGGTGACAGCCTGGGCCTCCCAGACAGGGCAGGCGTCTGAGCAAAGCGGGGAGGGAGCTGAGCCGGGTACTTGTGTCAACTTGTGGACCACCGGTCAGGGGTGGGAGGACTTGGAACACCTCGGCCAGCTGGGGACCCCATTCATGAGCAGCCTTTGAAGGTGTGTGAGCTGGTGAGTGAGACGAGAATTCATTTTAGACAGGCAGTGCAGACATGGCCTAGGGATGGATCTTGATGGCCATCACCTGTATCCTGTTGTGGAGGGTGACCCCCACAGGTGTGAGGGGCGGGTGACTTGCCCCCAGTGGGGACACAGGACAGACCCCACTCAGCTCAAATGCAAGAGAGGTCAGTGCGGGGGTGTCCCGCTAGAGGGCCCAGCGAGAACTTGTTGACCCAAGTCTCAAGACCGGCTTGGTCCTGGGCCAGCAGGAATTGTGTGGGTGGGCCGTGACTGCTGTGCCCGGGGTTTTCCTTATCGTGTGCGCCGAGCTGGGCTGGTGTTCTTCCAGGAGGGCAGGCAGAGGCTGGGGCTTCCTGGAGCCTTTTCCTGCCCACCCGGGGTGGTTCACTGCTGGCTCCCACGTCCCGTCCTCCGAGGTGAGGCTGCATCTGTGAGTTGCAGAGCACCTTCTCTGGGAAGCGCATCCCTGGCCGCCTCCACCCGGCTCCCGCTATTCCTGGAGGCCCTGCAGTAAAGGGCCATAATTACCCTCTAAGTTCCTCAATTACGGCCGTCCAAGCAACACCGCTTTTGTGTTGGGAGAAGGGGCTTGGCAGAGGCTCCTGGGAGTTGTTGCCACCCCCGTGCCAAGGTGGCTGTCCCTGTCCTCAGCCCGGATGGCTGCACAGAAGCCAGGGCGGTATGGAGGAGGCGCTGCAGGGAGGGACCAAGGCCCTCTGCTCTGCAGTGGGGGTGGCCTGGTGGGCTGTGACACGTGGGGGGGCCCCCGGGGAGAGCAGGCAGAGCCCTTGGACTGAGGTGGGCCATCCGTCTCCCTGCAGAGCATCAGCTGTGGGGAGCTCCCAGCCTCACATGTCTGAGGACCTCAGCGTGGTGGCACCATCTCAGTTCCGTGCTCCCAGAGTTCATCGTTTCTAATTCAGAGCTGGCCGGGGGAGACTGGCTCTTTCCTGCCTCAGACCTGTCCGTCCCAAACCCACAGATAGTTGCTGCCACAGCAGAGACCTGGGGGAGGGTGGATTAAATGAGAGGGGCTTCATTTCTCTCTCACATAAAAGCCCAAGTTTCCCTGGCTCTGTGTTCTTCTGGTGTGGCCCCTCCTGGTCCAGGGTGGTGCTGAAACTCCACCTGCCACACCCACAATCTAGATGTTAGGATAGAGAGGGCCTAAGAAAGAGGAAGCAAAGGGAAATAGCCCAGGCTATCTTTTAAGGAAAAGTTCTGGAAGCTACAGGGATTCTCTGTTCAGTGGCCAGAATTGAGTTACCTACTGAGGTGCAAGGGAAATGGGGACTGTGGTCTTTATTCTGGGCAACCGTGTGCCCAGCTAACATAGAGCATGAGGTCGGTAGGCTTACAGAGGGACCCACCCTAGGGTTCTTGGCCCACAGGTTTCCCACATGGATGATGCCTTCTGGGTGGGGCTGCACCCACACCCTTTACCAGAGGCACACATGGCCCTGAACTTGGATCCAGTTCAAGCTGAGGACAGGAGCTTCCTGGAGGTTGAACACTGCCTGCTGCAGGCCTGAGGGGAGGTAGGGAGGCTGCGTCACCAGCCAAGATTGCTAGACACGCGTCTGCAGGCCTCGTCTCATGGGCACCTGCTTTGCTGCTCAGGGCTGGGGTTTTGAGGTGGAAGTTCAGAGCCCAAGGCCTGGCCCTGCTGCCCCAGGGCACGAAATCCCAGGCGAGGCTCTAGCTGGCTTCTAAACTGGCTGGAGTGATGGCTGAGAAAGCTGGGCTGTGACCGGATGATGTGGTTGTGTGTCCTTGGCCCCGGTGGCAGCAGGTGGTGAAGGGTCTCAGACCACTGAGTGGAAGGCGCAGAGGCCCTTCTGAGATGGCTGTGGGCACGAGGCAGCTCCCCCAGCAGCTCCTGCACATGCTTACTCTGGGGGGTGACAGATGGCCATCGGATGCTGGGCCTCCCTGGGGAAGGGGGGTGCCCTCTGCAGATCGAGCGTCTCTGCCTGTGGGTTTTGTGGGAAATTAATCAGGACTCATCTTGGAGGCCGTTTGGAGGCTGGGTTAAATTGGAATAATCCAGACCCCAAGCAAAGAGAAAACTTGCCGAAGAGCCTGGGAGAGATGATCCCCGCAGAGCAGCTGCCTCGGGTGGGTGTGTGTGGTCGAGCCGGGGGGCTCTCACTCAGGGGTGGGGGCCAGCTGTCCGCCCTTGGGGAGCTGCACCGGGCTGTTGGTTGGAGAGGAGACAGCAAAAGAGGCCTTGGATTCGAGGCCCAGGCCCCAGGTCTGCCTGCAGCCCCTGTGTTGTGCAGCTTGCAGGTCTCCGGGGCCGCTCTGTCAGCGCTCAGGAAGCTGACCCTGGCTGCACTAGCTGCATGCCAGGCACTCTATTAGCTAATTTAATCCTCACGGTGACCCCCGTGAGAAAGGCACTACGGTTACCCCCCGGATTGGTGAGGTTACTGATGTCCCTTGAGTATAATTCGTTCAGGCCACAGAGCTACTGTGTGCAGAGCTGGAATCTGAACCCATCCCTCCAGGTATCCTCTTGGGTATCCTCTTGGCCAGTGCTTCCTGAATCCAGCTCCTGGC